TCAACATGATTTCTGATTTTAAGCTTTTTTTTTTACTTTAGACAATAAGTTAAACAATGTAAACTTGGTTTAAGCAAATTTAACAAAACTATTTAATACATTTAAAATGGCTACCTGAGACAGGATAATAAACTAAACAAACCAAAAGACTTAATTATAATTTTTAAAAAAATTATAATGCTTAAAATCTTTCAAATTTTTAGATCACGGTTTATACCAATAATTTTTAAGAAAAAAAAGGAAAAAAAAGGAAAAAAAAGGGAAAAAAAGAAAAAAAAAGAGAAAAAAAGAAAAAAAAATACCAATAATTTATAAGGAACATTTTTTAAACAGATCATTGAATCACCATTCAATTACACCACTGCATTTTCAGGTTTAAAAAAAAGAAATAGTAATTAGACGTTTTGTTTTATGTATATGTAAACCATTTTAAAAGAATGAAACTAGGCTACATGTCAGAAAGAAGTAGGCCTATTACTATTGTAAATCTGCATCGGTCCTAATAAGCTGATGATGAAAAAAAATACTAAAGTGAACATGGCAAGTTAAACTGACGCTGTAAATTACATGTCTGATTCTGTGGAAAAAAGAATATTAAAAATAAGAGATCAAGAAATGTATATATATATATATATATATATATATATATATATATATATATATATATATATATATATATATATATATATATATATATATATATATATATATATATATGAATTATATGCTCACTTGAACTGTCTTGCATAAGAATATTAAAAATAAGAGATCAAGATATATATATATATATATATATATATATATATATATATATATATATATATATATATATCCTTTTTAGTCCGTTGCTACACATGAAAAACGTGGTTTTTAAAAAGTTTTTTATATAGTTTATTTTCTACTTTATCTAATCACTTGATTAAGTATGACTTGACTAAGTGTTTTTAAATACACGGACTAAAAAAATCTTGAGCGACCGATACGCTTTAAACAGAGAAAGGGTGTAATTTACGTTGCTGGCGTGGAGATCTACTCACGAATCACGTGATCAAATCTCCCATAAACAAACAAATAAACGCGAAGCTGAGTTAAGGAAAAACGTGTTTATGTGTATTTTAGCATGCCCAGCGTACCAACCGTGTCACCGTTAACAATGTGTTACCGTGTCCGTTCTCCTTTTTAGTCCGTTGCTACACATAAAAAACGTGGTTTTTTAAAAAGTTTTTTTTAAGTATTTTATTTTCTCCTTTTTAGTCCGTTGCTACACATGAAAAACGTGGTTTTTAAAAAAGTGTTTATAAATACACGGACTAAAAATCTTGAGCGACCAGGATTCGAACCTGGGTTGTCGCGGCCACAACGCGAAGTACTAACCACTATACGATCACGGCCAGCGCGATCACATCGATTGGGGCCGAAGTAACTGTGTCAATAGGCCTCAAGTCTTGTCGGTATCTTTAGAAATCATGTCATCAATTTTATGGTCCTTGGGGCGTAATTAAATTAAGCTAATTACGGTCACTAATTGCTAGTTTTTATGATTGCATCTGAAATTGTTAGGCGAAAGTAGCATGCATGCCAAATTTCAGGTCTCTAGAGCAATCAGAAGTGGGCTAATTTTCGATGTCAATTTTAACAACAAACAAACAAACAAACGCAAAGGTGAGTTAAGAATAAAATACTTAAAAAAAACTTTTTAAAAAAACACGTTTTTCTTGTGGACTAAAAAGTAGAAAATAACTATTTACATACATTTGATGACAAAAAACGTGGGTACGTTCACCATCAAATTTCCCGACCCATCTGCCCGACCCACGTTTTTTGTCATCAAATGTATGTAAATAGTTATTTTCTACTTTTTAGTCCACAAGAAAAACGTGTTTTTTTTAAAAGTTTTTTTTAAGTATTTTATTTTCTCCTTTTTAGTCCGTTGCTACACATGAAAAACGTGGTTTTTAAAAAGTTTTTTATATAGTTTATTTTCTACTTTATCTAATCACTTGATTAAGTATGACTTGACTAAGTGTTTTTAAATACACGGACTAAAAAAATCTTGAGCGACCGATACGCTTTAAACAGAGAAAGGGTGTAATTTACGTTGCTGGCGTGGAGATCTACTCACGAATCACGTGATCAAATCTCCCATAAACAAACAAATAAACGCGAAGCTGAGTTAAGGAAAAACGTGTTTATGTGTATTTTAGCATGCCCAGCGTACCAACCGTGTCACCGTTAACAATGTGTTACCGTGTCCGTTCTCCTTTTTAGTCCGTTGCTACACATAAAAAACGTGGTTTTTTAAAAAGTTTTTTTTAAGTATTTTATTTTCTCCTTTTTAGTCCGTTGCTACACATGAAAAACGTGGTTTTTAAAAAAGTGTTTATAAATACACGGACTAAAAATCTTGAGCGACCAGGATTCGAACCTGGGTTGTCGCGGCCACAACGCGAAGTACTAACCACTATACGATCACGGCCAGCGCGCTCACATCGATTGGGGCCGAAGCAACTGTGTCAATAGGCCTCAAGTCTTGTCGGTATCTTTAGAAATCATGTCCTCAATTTTATGGTCCTTGGGGCGTAATTAAATTAAGCTAATTACGGTCACTAATTGCTAGTTTTTATGATTGCATCTGAAATTGTTAGGCGAAAGTAGCATGCATGCCAAATTTCAGGTCTCTAGAGCAATCAGAAGTGGGCTAATTTTCGATGTCAATTTTAACAACAAACATCCAAACAAACAAACAAACGCGAAGCTGAGTTAAGAAAAACGTTTTAAAAACGTGTTAAAAACTGGTGGCTCAGGAACATACACTCCGCTAGAGTTATTCTTCCTGATTTGTATTGATTTATCACTTGTTCATCACTTCAACTTTCTATGTCAAGTTTTGAATTCATGACCAAGGACTTTAGAAATATTGACAGTAATTCTCAGAGCCAAGGCAGCTACAAAATGACCATCTATATTTTTAAAATGACGCGGTTTCGATATATATATATATATATATATATATATATATATATATATATATATATATATATATATATATATATATATATATATATATATATATATATATACATCTTTGTATTTGTGTATATATCACCCAACAAGTCATATAAATCCCAACTAAAACACTCAAACTAGAGTTCGAAAATCGGTTTCATCGCATACGGAAATAACAGAGGATTTCGGCTCAAGATCTTGAACTTCAAATTGGATTTTTTGGCTCTATTCCTGGTCCGATTTTTTAAACCTAATTTTACATCGTGAGATGAAAGGGTCGAAGGTTTTCAGACGCGTGGAGGATCCAATCATCTTGATATTAGCGCACTTTGCATCAGGGTTTCTTTCAGTTTGAAATCTCTCACTTTTTTCGCCTCTCCCTTCCCCTCTCTCCCACTCCCTCTCTCTATTTTTAGTATGTCGCACTACACCAACTTTTCCTATTTGTATTCATTCTCCATTTTTTGAAGCCCTGTTCATCAAAGAAACACCAACGGACATTATTTAATATGAAATGTCCAAATAAAAAAAAAATTGAAATGTGTATCTCGTCTAAACTGGGAAATAATTTTTAAAAACTAGTTTGACATTGATTAGACGAAAATTTTTGATCATTTTTGTCAAAAGGTTGTTTTTTAGCCTAGTCCTTTCAAACGCTGATAATCGATTGTTTGATAACTCAGATTTTTACTTTGATCTCGGCATCAACATAGCGACTTATGTAAACATCACGTGGTTTTGATCACGTGTGTGCAATCTCTCTATTAATCAAACCACCTTTACAAAACAAAAACTATTTAAAATCGCGTTGACCCACATAAAAGCTGTTATGCCAATTTTGATATTAAGGGGTTATACGCGTATCATATTATTGTTTACCCTGTTATTTTACCTAACCATAACCCCATATAGTGACCTATAACATTTTCATTCATAATGACCTCTTATCTTCTTCAACCTCACACCAGAGACCTAGGTCGTAACTTTAAAATGTGACAGTTTGCAAATACATTTCAAAAATCACATCACTAGACATACAATTGGTAGCTTCAATGGTAACGATTTGAAAAATTACAGCACTAGACATACAATTGGTAGCTTCAATGGTAACGATTTGAAAAATTACAGCACTAGACGTACAATTGGTAGCTTCAATGGTAACGATTTGAAAAATCACATTACTAGACGTACAATTGGTAGCTTCAATGGTAACGATTTGAAACTTTACATTACAAGACGTACAATTGGTAGCTTCAATGGTAACGATTTGAAACATTACATTACAAGACGTACAATTGGTAGCTTGAATCTTAACGATTTCAAAACTCACAGCACTAGACATACAATTGAAAGCTTCAATGGTAACGATTTAAATACACGAGTGTTTAAAGAAATGAGGTGTAAGTTGACGTATAACAACATGTCGAATAAAGAAAATAAAAGTTAGTGTTATACCACTTCTAACTCTCTCATATAACAAATTAACGAAATGATAACTACCCGCTACTCCTTTCGATATGTGAAAATTAGTTCACAGTTATACATCACGACTCCGCCTTATAACGCATATCCCTTAACACGACCCCACCCATCAATACGGCTATCCCTTAACACGGCTATCCCTTAACACGGCTATCCCTTAACACGCCCCCCTCCCCGCCTTATAAAGGTGATCCCTTATCACAATTCCCCCCCCCCCTTTCCCTCCACATTACGGCTATCTCTTAAGAGCAAAACGACCACCACCCCCATTTTATAACTGATATCCCTTAACAACCCACCCCCCCTTATAACGTCTATCCCTGATCACAACCCCCCCCCCTTCCCCACCCGTATGTCTATCCTTTTATCACAACCCGCCCCCTTATAATGTCTATCCCTTATCACAACCCCTCTTATAACGGCTATCCCCCCCCCCCCCCAACCACCATTGCCCAATGTCTGATGTTCCTACACGACACAGCTTTAACCAGAACCACGTTCTCTGATTGCAGGTGATAGCAGCAGAAGGTGAGCAGAAGGCGTCAGTCGCCCTCAAGGAGGCAGCCGACATCATCGGGGCCTCACCTGCCGCCCTGCAGCTCCGCTACCTGCAGACGCTCAACAGCATCTCCGCCGAGAAAAACTCCACCATCATCTTCCCACTCCCCATCGAATTCGTCAGTGGCTTGCTGAGGAAGTAAGCTGGGAAATCGCGTTGTAAAAATAAACATGGCGGAAATGGAGCAGATTTTTTTTCCTCTTTCAGCGAAACATGAAACCCTGTGTAAAGCAATCTCCAGGACAAATGAGCGACAGCTAAGGGCGGCTATCCAATTTGGCAATACTGAACACAGTTAATGAACAGTTTTGACCCCTGATCTTTGAAAGCTTAAAAAAATGAACTAATTAATTACTTTATCATAAGTGTAAAATTAATTTCCTTTGAAAAACACAATTAAATACATTTGATTGATGAACATATTAAAATTCCGAATTTTAAAAGTTTATTAAAAACTTATTAAATCAGAAATCAGTTTGATTTTAAAAGTTCTTACATATTGTCTACAACTGATTACTTAACTGATTGTTTTTTAGTGCAAAAACAAAAACACTGTTTAATGCATTTCTTTCATGAAATGCTCTTGTACAAAATCAATACGTTTTTAAAACTATTCTTTTGCCTAATTCATCAAATATCAATTAAAACATGTTCTTTAAAATGTAAGAATGATACTTTCATTAAAGAAAATCAACATTCATAATATTTTACCAAAAACATCATTATCATTACAGATCTAACATTTATGTTTCAGTTTAAGCCTATTTTTTATTATGCGTTACTAAAAATAAAAATTATTTTCAGTTGCGCAGTTCTAGATCTTGCCTATATGTAGTTTAACTTTTGTTTTCAATAAACCAATGCATCTGCACACAGTCTCTAAGATTTTAAACACACTTTAAAGACAGTTATTAATGTTAAAAATGATTTTATATCATGATTGTATTAGCATTCCAAATTTGAAAAAAAAAATTACATTTTTTGTTCCATTTTCTGTTTGATTTATTTTTTTATACAATTTGTAAATAATCTGAAAACCATGTTATAATTTTTCTGATAAGGTAAAGTAATTAACATTTATTAATTTTATTTGCAATATAAATGGATGTTCTTATTTTTATTTTACAATCAAGGTAGTCCTTTTGTTAAGAGTCTATCTATTAACATTGTGTCTATTGTGTAGAAAAATTATCCTTGCTATGGCATTAGCAAAATCTCATTTACTTTTACATACTGTATGTTACATTTTCTGCATTCAGAGGCTTGTATCATTTGTTAAAAATAAATTGTTGCGAGTTTAGTTTAAAATTTAAAAAAAAATATTTTCTTTGCTTAAAAATAAAATTTGTTTTTTTTTTTACTTTTTGTAAAACCAGATACGTGTAACAAATGTAAATCTGTTTTATTAATTTTTTTCAGGACTAATTCAAACGAATATGATATTTTGTGTATGTTTAGATCTACTGCACTTTTCTTAGTAATTTGAAATATGATCATGTAGGTCTAAACATATTTTTGTTCAAAAATCTTAAATACATTGACATGTTTGGCTGGTGTAAATTGTTTTTATATTGTATGTGCTATTTTTATTTATTTTACTTCAGAAGCAAGGAAAATGTTTTGATTAAATATAAACAACGAGCCGGCCCGCGGCATAGCATACGCCGCTATTTAGTTATTGTTTTTTCTACTTTTCAGTAATTCAAAATTTGTGAATTCGACAGTACCAACGCTGCCACTGAAAATATTTCTTTAAAACACTATAAGTAGCTCGTTAAGGACCATAACCCCCCCCCCTTCCTCCCCCCCCCCCCCCCTACGTTTAAAATCGTTGGCTCTGCTTGTAAACATTTAGAGTGAACACAGCTCACAAAAACCATGTAGGGGTGGGGAGGTAGGGAGAGCGTTTGCAGCTTGTTTTCTAACGGCTTGAAGAGGAGAATTATATATATAGATGTGACCTTTGGTGGTTATGTAACCAGAAATGTTTTTATTATTTAAATAGGGCCTACAAAGCAAGAAACATTTAATTCTACTTGCGATGTCTATTCGTTTAGTCTTATCTGTAGGGCCTAACTGTATCCTTTTTTGAACTAAATCCTACTTATGAGTGGGCTACAGACTTATCCTAAGATTAAATTAAGTTTTTATTTTCAAGCCTTGAATAGAATTTTTTTTATTTTAAAATGTCATTACACCTTAATAATATTCATATAGCCCCATCAATCTAATACAACATTTTTTCTTAGTTAATGCTAAAATATCTGCACTCAAGCAATTCACGAGCAATTTGATAAACTAAATCTGCACCCGTAATTTCTCTGTTTAATTTTTAAAACTGTATATAAGTAGGTTTATTTAATTTTAACTTTTTCTTCTTTTCATTGTATAAAAATTGTACTATGATAAAATAATAATAAAAATTATGTTACTTTACAAGGTGGCTTATTGTATTACTCCTATTAATAATGACTTGCAAAGTAAATGGAGAAAAGTTAAACTTCTTCTTTTCTTCATCGTTGTTCTGAATTTTAGAGTTGGAAGGGATATCCTCCCACACAATTAAGTATACGTGTCAACTGGTAATGCGCCATTCATTGACTCCGATTTCAGCCTGTTTTTCTTTTTGGATTTGCTTCCATAGTAGACTTTGCCCAACCAAGAACAAACTACAAGGCAACAGTTGTTTGATTTTGGAGTTGTCTCTCTTAGAAGAGTGGCTGTCCCCAGCTAAAGAGCCTCATCTGCCCGAGGGTTCGAAATCGAGACTTTTTGGTTAAGCAACCATAAGCTTTACCGACTCGACCACGCCGACCTCTAAAAAGGTGAACCATGTGAAGGCTTGGGAAAATTAAATTGGGCTGTAATTTAACATGAGGACACTAGGGGGCAATGGAGAGTTCAAAAGAGTTAATGCAGACCAAACTTATCATCCTACTGTTATCACTTATGATCTGGGAAACACACAAAATTTAGATGAAATAATCTACTCAAGATGTATTAGACCCATCTACTATGACATGGACAGTGGCGTAGCAAGGAATTGGTCATGGGAGGGGTTCAAAAATGTTTCCATACGTATATAATCTTATATATATATATATATATATATATATATATATATATATATATATATATATATATATATATATATATATATATATATATATATATATATATATATATATATATATATATATATATATATTATATTTATAGGGGTCGGGGTCCATGGGAGGGGTTATAACCCCCCACCCTAACCACCCCTTGCCTACACCACTGGCCATGGATATAGCAGAAAGTCTCTCAGTCAATCATTACCTATAGTTTCTGTCCCATCAAAACAAGCAGTAGTTTTTTAATGAGAAGTATTTACAAGTCAATTAAGTCACCCTTCTATCAATAACAATATGACTCTATTAGGGAATAGAAGCATATAATGCTTTCAAAGATGATCCAGTATTTTCTACTGCTGTCTGACTCGCCTTCTTCAGATCTCAATCACCCTGAACCCCCTCCCACCCTTCCGAACCCTAATCTCTAAGCACATTGGTATAGGCCTATAAACTATATTATTGTGTAGAACCAGAGGCGTAGCGAGGGGGGGGGGGGCGGGGGTGCGGAACGCACCGGGTGACACCATTTAGGGGGGGTGACACCAAGGCAAAAAATAGCAAAATATATAGAGAAAAACTTGAGGAGGGGGGGGGGGGTGCAAATCGAAAGTTTGAGGGGGGGGGGGTGCAAATCGAAAGTTTGAGGGGGGTGGTGCAAATCGAAAATTTGAAACTTTGTCCCCGGGAAGGGTCGCTACGCCTCTGGGGGTGACACCATTAAGTGCCACACCGGGTGACACCCGACCTCGCTACGCCACTGTGTAGAACACTGCCTGAACAGCATCTTTATACTTAGACAGGTTGTGGACCTGCCTTAAATTCCAGTGGAGATGCAAGCACAAGTGTTAGAACATCAATAATGGAACAATCCGGTGCCCCCCCCCCCCCCTTCATTATCACCCTCTCCAAAGATGAACACACACAGTTATATTACTCATTAATAAACTGCCATGCGCCCCAATGTCATAACATTCCTTGTCAACACTGAATTCAACAGATGATAAATATTTTGACTAAACTGTGAGTAAAGTTTAGATACAGAAAACGCTTTACAGTAAGTCAGATGGCCAGAGATGGCTAGGTTAATGCAGAGGCGTAGCGACCCTTCCCGACGCCCGGGGACAAACTTTCAATTTGGCGCCCCAAACACTTATGACAGCACTAGAGAGGCTTAAAAATACCTGCAGCAGAATTGTGCTGCAGTGGATCCCGGGCCACTGCCAGATCCAGGGTAACGAGATCGCAGACCAGCTGGCAAAAATTGGGGGAAAGAAACCACAACCGGAAATTTCGCTACACCCAAAAGAAATAAAAAGAATAATTAAAAACAAACAAACGCAAATGTGGTCTGTCACACACCCTCACTACATTAAAGACGACGGCTATTACAATTTAACACGAAAACAACAATACATTTAATCTTTCGACTCAGAACAGGCCACAACAGACTAAATCAACACATGCACAAAAAACTGAAAGTTGGGTGTAGCGAAATGTGCCCTTGTGGCAAGGCCCCGGAAAACACTGAGCACGTACTCCAGGATTGTACTCTGTATAGCCAGGCAAGAGGCAGACACTGGCCCCAGCCCACCCCACTCAGGGAAAAATTATATGGGACACCTGACAAACTGGAAACCACAGTCCGGTTTGTCCACGAAGTTGGTCTTGTTGTCTGAATCCTCCACCATATTCAAAAATTAAGAACGAAGAAGAAGAAGAAGAAGGCGCCCCCTCGGGAGCAAATTTTTAATTTGCACCCCCCCCCCAAACTGTCAATTTGCACCCCCACCCCCTCAAACTATTTATAATGCAAAAATGCAGCTGAAATGACATTTTAATTTGTTTTTATAACCCATTTTGGCGCCTCCTCAGGTCGGCGCCCGGGGACACATGTACCCCCCTTCCCCTTCCCCCCCCCCCCCCCCCGTCCATCGCTACGCCTCTGGGTTAAGGTTAATAATAATAATAGGACTACAACAAATTTATCTTTGGCGACTCACGTGAGCCTCGAGTCCGTCAATAAACACACTTTTAATAATTTATTAACAGTGTTGAGATAATTTCCCCCCTTCATTTACTTTCCGGAAGATAACGGTGTATAAACAAGTGTCAAAATTTATTTTTAAAATATAAAACACAAACACTTAGGGGCCTAAATTATAACTAAACAGGATTTGCCTCTGTGTCTATTTTTATTAGCGAGTGTCCGTTTGCATATGAACGGCTTTTCCGAAAATTCTGGCCAAACTTCGCCAGTTTTTAAGAGCCAAAGAGCTGCCTTCTGTCACCAGTTGTAAACAAAACAAACAAGATGGCAGATAGAAATACCTCGCCCAAGAGATACAGCACAGCCAGTGGTTATCACATGGAACGTAAGTGTACACTAACTTTTTTTTCTGTATAGATCTATTGTTTTAAATAATTACTTAACGCATTTTGTGTACAATTTCCTAGTTTAATTTGTCGCAGCACATTTTCACTTCGATAAACTTGTCAAGTTGAAGTAGAACTCTCACTCACGGTCACAGACTCACGTGACAGTCAGACTCATTATTATTATTATTAAGATGATTAAGTTAATTCAGTCAATTATTCAGTCATGAATGAAAGCAATAGTTAACTAACAAGTCTAGATCTAGATCTAGATCTAGCTACATCTAAGAATATTTTAGAATAAGATCTAGAATAGGTGTAGAATCTATATTATCTGTACTAGTCTAATAAGATCTTAAGATCATAATCATAAGAGATGACTTAGATGTTATTTAACAGTTATTGAGGGTAATCTATCGTTTTGGGTACGTAAAATCGCCCGCGGCTATTAATGTACGAAAACGTTACCTCATTGTCAAGGCTGTAATAGAAGTATATTGTGATATGTTTGTGTCAAATATTATAGATAAATGAATAATAAACCTAAATCAATGGCTAAATATATCAATATAGGCCAGAAATTAACTTTAAACAGCTGTGTCTGCAAGCAAGATTTGCTATATAAACAGCAGCCATTTGTAAAATAGAGTGACTTCCGCCTGAATCTCGCGCTATATGTCTATAAAAATAAAACTTTAACAAGATGGCTGCTATAGTAAATGAGCGTGGTTGCATATGTTGGAAACATCGCTGGTGTTCATTTATTACTGAAAAGTTTTAATTCAAATGTTTAAAAACAGGTACATAAATGAAACAAGGAAACATTTTTGTATTTTTCAAAACATAAATCCTCCTCAAAATGTGAAATAATTATTAAAATGTAAGGAGTCACCTGTTTTTCACATTACTAGTCGCGGCCGATTTTACGTACCTAAAACGATAGATTACCTTATTGAGTTATATTATAGATTATAGATCTAGGTCAACTAAATATATTTTTAACTTTTATTAATATAAAATGTAACATATAAAAAAATTTAGTTAAACCTTCAGTTTTTTTTTAGTCACAAATTATGAAATATGAAATTGTAGTTTATTGTAGTATTAGTGACTATACTTTTAGTATTATTGAGACCAGAAGACTGGTTACTTTTACTCTGCTAAAGCTGCTGAGGCATGGATACTAGATCTGTTACTTACTAGTATTACTAGTAAATGACAAAATTTATTAATGTAGGCAAGACTAAAAAATTATATTATAGCCTATAGGTGTGATCCATAAATGACGTCACACT